TATTGCGTTTTACGTCGATTTTAGCGATAAAACACATAAATCTCTAAACGTTTTAATTATTATAAAATTTAAACTTTTTTAAACTTTTTGAAGGTAGCTTAAAAATATAAATATACAATAAAGGAGCATATAGCCATAGCTCAAAAACATTATTAGAGATAAATTTAATGTATTTCCAAATTATATGTTAACACATATAATTTGTAAACATTTCGGTCAATATTTGATCATCATCAATACAACGCATAGATGTTATATTAAATTGAAAATGGATGTCTTCTTTCTAAGTGTATCATTGTTTCGATGTTGATATCCCGTTCATTGCGAATTAATATTTGATTATTATACAATATAATAATTTCGTCTTTGTATATAATTGTTGAGATATAATCTTATTAGACCGTTGTCTATTATAAAATTGTTTGTATAACAAGATTTATTTTGCAATTAATATTGAAATGAAAGAGTCTAATATCTTGAAATATATAAAACTATTCTAATTATTTATAATTTGTTTTATATGCTGTACACTTCTTTTTATTTTAAAAAGTCTTGTGGATATTATTAGTAATTCTTACACACGAATCCTACACATTTCTTTTTTTTAATTATTTAAAAGCTAGATAATCAGTTATAACATTTATATCGAGAGGGTAACCATTAGCTGAAATATTGTTCCGCCGATTATATGATTTCATTTGATTTTATATAATTTTATCTGATTAAATAATTTTACAAATAATTTTTTTCACTATGAAGTTTTTTGATAAAATGTACGTATTTAATATTATACAATAATTTCTCGTGGTTGCATTTATAATTCTCGGATTATACATAGAGATTTTATACGAATTTTTATAATTAAAAATATGTTTCCGTATATTTTGATTTCGAGGACTCTACACGATTAAGTGATTATCTTCTCGATTTATATACAATTTTTTTAAGTACATAACCTTATGAATATTTTTTGAAGATGTTAAGTATATGTAAGAATTGTTTAATAATTTTTGTGTGCTTATAAAAGTAATTCAGAACACAAAAATTAATTCAAGATATGAGCGATCCATCGCGAGTAGTAAAGGACTAAATCGTCATATATACTAATGGTTAAATAATATTTACCAATTCTTGAATGTATTAATTAAAAATATGTTTCTGTATGTTTCATTTTATTTGCAAAATACACTTGTAAGTTATTGTAGCAATGTTCAATGATTGTGGTGGAAATTAATTTGAAACATGATTCATCGTGCGTATTAAAGAGTTAAATAATATTTGCCAATTATTAATAAAAAATATATTCCGTATATTTTGAGTTGTTCGCAAAATACAATCGCGAGCTATTGTAGGAACGTTCAATGATTGTGGTTGATATACTGTAGATTAACAAACTTTACGTAATAAAACGTAAAAGTTATTAAGTGATTTTATTAACACGGGGAAAAGAGTATTCTTTTGCACTGATTGCCAATTGTTCTTTAATTGACTCGGTAATTAACGACAACTCATTGTTAGAATGACATTTATGTTGCATGAAATATTAATAATCAAACTTTGTGATAAAGTTAAAAAATTAAAAATTACTTTCACGTCGTTCAATGGAGATGTGCAAACGCGAACTCATGTTCGATCAAATGCATAGAAATGTTGCGTGCCGTGTGATTTCTATTTTGCTGAGTACATTTTAATCATGTTCTCATCTCGTCCAACGCGAGATCATTTCTCACGGAAAATCCCTCGGACTTTGCGATGCGCCGATTAACGATACGCTACAAAAATCAGCGAAGGTTCGGAGTCGACGAATAAAACATTTGTGAATAAAGCTCGATCTACATAAGATGTAGAACGCAGGTCATAGGTCGTAAAACTGGAAATTAATCTAATGTATTTTAATTATAATATGATTGTTGGACGCAGGACGCAGAAAATTAAATAAACTTCAACTTTCGCGTCCTGCGTCTTGCGTCCTACGTCTTATGTAGATCGGGCTTAATGCGTCTCGCGTATTTTCGTGCTGCGGGCTGTCGACGTCGCGTCGTAGGGTTTGAATTTTCCATGAATTAGCTGGAATAGTAACTGTACGAGAATTTCTGCTTCTTCGTGTACTGGTTAAATTCCAGATGGGTTAGTTCAACGCAAAGTGCACTCGTGCTGTTTTCTCGTGCTTCTCCGGTAAAGTGTTAGATAAACGGACAGATAAGAGTTTTATTCAAAATCTTCAAGCATTCTTAAGATTATATGAAGAATTGAAGAAACAATATGGATGAACACTGTAACCACTCATGCGAAACTGAAAAATAATCTGGAAAATGATTTTGTTCGTACGATGTACAGTGCCATATTGGCATTAGAGACTAATCTAGGCTATGTGTAGGAGCGGCAAGCTCCGTTATTTGTTGTGTTGGTTTATGATTCATATTAGAACGGATCAACTTGTCCATAGGTTAGAAGAAGCGGCATTTTTTGAAAATAAGTTTTAAAAAAATTAACCATTTTTTGCCACGCGAATGATTAAGAAAATTTTCTATCGATTACTAAAAGTTTGTTCGCGTCGTATGTTCTAATATGCTCCTATTATAGTTCCTACTCGACATTATAGTTTCTTTTCAACAAGCGCATTGGGTAAAAAAAATGTGTATATAAAATGAACACAAAATGTTAACAATATATGGGCTTCAGCACACAGATGGTCGTAACTGAATAGTGAAATGTGAGTCATAGTTGTAGGTGTCAACGCACAATGTGTTATGTCTGTTTTACAATAGAATCGTAAGCGGTAAGTCGTAAGAAATTAACCAATCATAGTCGATTATTCTTCTCACACTTAACTGTGATTGGTCAATTTCTTACTAATAATTTGTGACCTTATTATAAAACAGGTATTAGAACTGCCGCAGATAATATTTCTGTAACAGTAATTTTAAGATTTGAACTTAAGCCGATGAGCGAATCAGGACACTGCTTTAGATCTACGTACTCTAATGGAAATAGAAAAAAATAGCAGTAAAACTATTCATAAGACGAATTTCAACTGGTTGAAATTTGCGATGTTATGGATAAGTTTACTGTTTTATTTCCATTTCCTGGGGCAGAAATCTTTACCAGGCCCTGACGATGTATGATTCATTGCATTATAGGATTATAGGAGGACAACATTCTGTAGTATTCCTCGTATTCTATTTCAACATGATTATTGTTTCCGCAAATCCGTTATTTGTTGTGATGGTTTATGATTCATATTAGAACGGTTCAACTTGTCCATTATCGAGTCGTAATCGGGAATAGCTATGAGAATCGGAGAAACCACAACCGCATAGATTCGTTTGCCGCAGTTTCAGAGAAACTGCCATTTTCGGTAAACCCTATTGCTTCCGGCAATATCGTTGCTGAGCTTCAAACGAAATCATTTAACCTTAAAACTTGTTTGACACGCGACTCCACTTAAGATGCTACAAGTTTTATTCTTTGGATAAAACACATAAAATGGGTATAAATTTTGCAAAATTTCTTTAGAATTTCTTGTTAATTACTTTAATCCACTCACATTCTTTTATATTAATTGGCTAAAATATTCACTACACTGAAAGATACTAAAGATTTTAAGTTATTTTAAAAACTTAAGTCAAGCAACCATTAATTCTTAATGTATAATTTTTTTTCTTTTTGATTTAAGATAATTATAAGATAACGCACAAAATGTCAGTCTATTTATTTGTTTACCTTTCAGATAATTTTACACTTTGATAATTAATTCTATAACTAGTATCAATTTTGTTAAAAATAAATGTGTCATATATAAATCGAATAATATGACATTTTGTACGCCACCCTGTACATTAAAACATAATTAGCAAAATTGAAAAATGTGTTATTTATTTTTTAATAGTTTTTTCTTCAATGAGAAATTAGGGTTAAGGGTAAGATTATTTACCAGATATTAAGATGCAATTTACTCGTGATTTCTGCTCATTTTTACTGATTGAAAAGAAAATGCGATGAAAAAAGAAATTTGTTTGAAAGAGAAATAAGCTTTCCATGTTATTAAACATTTCGTGCTTCATTGTTCATTTAATAATTAAAAAAGGAAATAAGTAGAACCTAGAATTGTTCTTTTAAATCCTATTATTATCTTTAATGATACTCTTAAATGAATACATTAAATATGATTAGTAAATTAAATAGATATATTCTTAAATAGAGATATATTAGAATATTTTACTTTATATTCTCTACGTAATACTTTTAAAGTTTTATGAACAATCTTTTGCACTAAAAGTACAGTACAATCAAAATTACATTATGAGTTAATTTTATAGTAATTATAAAATAAATAATAAAATTCATGTATTAATTTTCAACGATTACAGTCGAATTGTATTATTACGTGATTTCAATATAGTTATAGATATTTATATGTTTTTAATAAACAATTATAACATGTAGGCTATTTCGCGAAAAAAGCCAAATTTGTTTTAAATGAAAAATTAACTTTATCATGTTTCTATGAAATAAAAATAATTGTGCTAGAGGATTAAAGAGATATATATAGTTTAGCAAAAAAGAAAGAGAGAAATAGATAAATAGATATAGAGAGTTTATTATTGTTCTAGAGTTGCCCTCTAAAAATAAGCAAATTAAAACAAATAATATAGAGAACAGAAAAAATTTACAAATTAAAAAAAAATTAGTTACAAAGAAAAGCAATGAATTTAACAAAAATAGAATAATATAAAATAAAAAAATAAAATACAAAATATGATAAGTAAAAAAGAGAGAAAGAGAAAAAGAGAAATGGAAAATCAGACAGTCATCATCTCGAATATAATTTCAGTGTACGTAACGAGAATAGAACGATTTTGCGCATACAAACTGTTGACCTGCCTTTCCTGAAACCCGAATCCCGTTACATATGACCTACGGCGATGTTTTATTTTGCAATTGTACCGATCCGATTACATCGTTCGCGCGTGATATATATCGAGCCTGTTTGTTTGCAGAGAGGGAAGTCTGGTATGAAACGGCAACGCGGGCGATCGAGACGCGGATCAGGGAGGCAGCGAGCACCAGCGTCAGCGGCACGACGCCGCCGACCGGGATGGCACGTGGTGTCGTCCTCTTCGTCGGCGACGGCATGGGGATGAGTACCCTCACAGCGGCGAGGATTCTCGCAGGTCAGCGTCACGGAAACCCGGGTGAAGAGACGCAACTCGCGTGGGAGAGCTTCCCAGCAGTAGCGTTGGCGCGGGTGAGTACGAGAAAACGCAGATCGCTTTTCATCTTGTTCCTCCTTTTTGTTTTTCTTGGAAATGCGGCACGTAAAACCGTTGCTTTACGTGCATCAAATTTGTTGCGGTAAACTGTCCGAAGTAGGAGCATGCAAATCGTTAAAGTGGTGCACGTAAGACTGACGATTTACGTGTTGCGCTTAGTTCACGATAAATTGGAAATTGACAAATGTCTTTCAACACAAACAAAAAATGACGTTTTGTAAGATGAATTTTACTGATAAAATTCAAATTTCTGGTATGCACAACAGTTGCAAGTCGAATGCGATAGTCAAACATGTATACGAACAAAAAATTCTTTTTTTTTTTTATTAAAGCTACGCTTTGTTTTATTATATTTATAAATATTATTTATATTTTTTGTTATATCTCTTAATATTTCGTGTTTTTATTTCATTTTTGAGAATTTTGTGTGTAAATAATCAATAACGAGTATATTACTCTAGTTCGCTCGGATATTTGATGTCTTGTTGAATATAACCCCTCTTGTTTACTTGGCAAATTCCTCGGCAAAGTTAAATTTTTCTTTGGCGAAAATTGGATCGGATATTATTTCCCAGAATTCAATTTTTCGCATGAAATAGTTCAAAAACTATGCATAAAATGAAAATTCTATATTGAGATAAAGTACACGGAAAATGAGATGAAAATGATATTTTGTCATTTATTTACGATTATTATCCAATGAGAATTAAACTTTAATTTCCAATATCGTTTTTAATTAACAAAACCTGCTACTTCTCTCTCTCTCTCTCTCTCTCTCTCCTCTCTTCCTAGAAATATCTTTTTAAATTAGATTTTTATGATCAAAAGTGATTACGATACATATGCCTACACGATTTATGCAGATTATACCGCTGAGAGCTATCATGTACATAAGTGTTTTTTTTATCGGAACACGGATAATCTCGAGAATTGCTGATGCTCGTATATAGGCACAAAGGAAAAATCCAATGTGCTGAATTCACTTCGTTAAGGCGGTAGGATATTTGCATGCAAATTTAATCGAAACGTGTGTGCACATGCTTCTACGTAGAAAGATCATAGATCGTTTATTCGTATTTTAATTAAAATCACGTTAAACATCGTGTGTCTGATTTTCTTTTGTTTGTTGCGGATATTTTCCACAATCCGCACTGCAAACAAAAGTATTCGTATATTAATATCTGCCTCGTACTTAATTAATGTGGTTAATATGAAATCTGTTAATATTGTTTTTATTTTGTCAATGTTCGTTAAAACTATTCGTTTTATTTTTGCATCTGTTAATATACGTGAAGGTTTTTTCATTTTTTGGAAAGTCAGATTAAAGGGAAATATTTAAAAAATATATATAAATCAATATAAATGTAACAATAATGCGTAGTGTTTTAATATAAATTAATAATTTTTATTTATATACATGTTCGACCATCGATCGTTAGAAATAATAAATTAAATATCTAATAATCGGCATTTTCTTTCATTTTCTCTAATGAAGTTGGCAGATAGAAAAAAATTTTTCCGAAGACTTCTCGGGATTGAGAAAACCATTATTGTTTGAAAATTTATTTATCATTGGTACTCCCTCATTATAACAGAATTGAAAATTTATAACAGATTTTCTGTCTGTCGGTTTTCATAATATTAATTTATTACTTTCGCAAAGCGAAGATTGCCTGAAAATAAACACTCGAATATTTTCTTTGATCTTCTAACAAGTGAAGACTGAACAGAAATAAAGAATAAGTATTGTCGCGAAACGAATTTGCCGAATGTACTTATTATTCTAGAAAAATTCGTTATACTAACAATAAGAAATTTTAATTCATTAAAATCAAGAAAAAAATAATTTACTTTTGAGATTTTATGCAACAGAAATGTAATACGTTATCTTTCATAATAGAATGTATAATCTTTTTCTAGATTTCAAAAATATTTTCTCAAATTTATCGTGTTTAAATAAAAATATACTGATTTACTTTACACTATTTTAATGATAAAGTAGAATATTATTTGAGCTAATACAGTTTCAAGAATTTAAATTTTTCTAATGAAATGTTTGTATAAGATAAGTTAAGGAAAAAAAATCTCTTTTATATATAGTCTCTAATTTTAACTGAATTTTATCTTAACAGGAATTTAATTTTTCAAGATTTATTCATTAAAATGTTCTGCTTCAAGAATAAAATGCATTTCTTAAGAAATTTCCATTAAAAGATTAACTTTAAATATATCACGCGCACACACACACATCCACAGATTATTCGACTGAAAAAATATCGAATAATATTTCCATGCTATGAGTATGTGTTATACAATATAGATTACACGATATAAAAAATAAAACAAAAGACTAAGTATGTAGAATATTTGTTAAATAATATGTTATTTGACAATTAATAATATTATTAATAGAAATGCATTTTTGTGCCATTATCATTAAATGTCTATCTTATGATTTTTACGATTTTGTTCTAATTTTTATTTCTCATTTAAACGAAAAGTCAAAGTTTTAAGATTGTTTTAAGAAAAATAATAATAATTGTACTTAAAAATAATATTAGAAATATTAGAAATATTAAAAATATTATAATATATTAAAAATAATAATTATACATATATGATGTAACTATTCGAATATATAATTGTTACACATAAGAGCTATCGCTTTCAGATCTCTCTCTCTCTCTCTTTTCTTATATCGTATTATACATAACATAATACGTAGAATAGTTTTGAAAAATGTATATCCGAGATCAAGATACATTTTCTAAACTTGAAATTATCCCTGACGTGTTACAAGTGATCTGTTGTCGAAACTTGTTTTCTGTAGAGGAATTCAAACATCCATCACGTATGAAATCGGTGTTTGTGCACAAATGTGGCCGTATACATGTTACACACATGTTGCTGTGTATCTTTCTGTTTTCCATGTACTGTGTCGGGCGTGGTTTCTTCATATTTTTCGTTCTAAGAGGCGTATTCCGAAACTATCGAGAAGTCATGGAGCACGAAACTTCTCCGTAAAGTCCCAAAAGGATTTTGACACTCTAACTGTGCATTGATTACAGACATGCTTATAACCTGGTTGATATAATCTGTTCTCTTGAACAGAAGTTGAAAGCGAGCGGAGCTTTTGAATTTATAGGACTTTCAGAGAATGTAAAGATGCACACATATGACGTTCAAACTTTACCGAAAATTTTCTTTTATAATTTAACTGGGTCATCTCTCCACTTTCTTACGACGAAAAGTGCCTCGAGACGTTATATAAACTTTTGTACTTTCGCGCCCTCTTCAAAATTTACGTTTTTTTAACAGTAAGTTAATTTGCACAAATATCGATTTTGCCGTTATTTGCATTATCCCTCGATGGTGGGGAGTAAATATTATCTCTGTGAATTGAAACGCGTTTGCGGTCCCATGACGTGCAGAACCTTTTCTTCACCTCGTAATTTTTCTTGTTCTTTGTCAAGTAATATTATTGTTTCTCGTTCCTCTCTCCAGCCGTTTCTAGCACTCTTATCCCTCGGTGATGCACCTGGAAAGCGTTGTTGGTTGGGAACAAAGTTTCTCGAATAGTCTCCTGGGAACTCCCTTAAAAGACTAGACTAGTGTTGATAGGAGACTTGTTTATTTTCATTGCAAGCAAGACAGCGTATACGACAATCTCTAAACGAAAACACAGTACAAACTGCATACCTAAATATGGATTTTAGTGCCATGTCTAACTTGATAATAACTTGGCCATTATACTCACTGTAAATTTGTATAACATGGTATAAAATTTTATTTATCTTTAGAAATATATATATGTATATGCATATATCATTTTCTAGATTATAATACAAATATTGATTTAACTCTAAAATTATAAACTAATTTGATGCATGTCGATAGTTTATGATTCTGGAGTTAATAAAAAATGCTCTAATAAGTCGATTCTTTGTTTATATAATTTTAGTTAAAAAATTACTATATTTAAACCTGTCTACCTGAGAAGACTGTCCTCGAAATTTTAATTATTAATAACTTTTTAAGAAATGAAGAATACAAAGAATACAAAGAATACAAACAAAAAATTGACTTGTTTCGGAATATACAAACGAAAATCTATTTATTGAGACTAATTAAATCTAATTTGTTTGTGATTGGGGGAAGCTAGTGTGAAATTAGTCTCCTAAAACCTGTTTTTTTAGTAACTTTTTTACCAGAAGTGTGCAAACGAAAATTCAAAATATATACATGTATGTGTAAATGATGAGCAATCGAATAAGCTATAGAAAGTTAATTTTTTCAAAAATTGGGGGTGCTAATTTTATACGAGTTTCCTTATTTGGATCCTTAGAATTTACAAATTGACTATTAGAATTTTCACCTATTGACTGTGTGGGAAGAGGAATCAGAACTTTTTATTTCTCTGTCTAATTTCTGCTTGTGCATTGAAAAGGATTCAAGAGAATTGTTGTTGTCGAAACGTTTGCTGTCTGATTTGTTTGTATTTATCTTGTGAATTTTATGTGATGTTAACGTATATATAATTTCGGCATTAATAACTGCTATGGTTTCTATGAGCAATTAAATTTATTTTATTAAAATATATTTTACACTAGTCGTGAAATTAACGTTTTATTTTTTAATGTCTATCGCATGTAATCATGATATGTGATAGATTGTTAACTTTAAGCATTACCCGATTATCAAATTACATGACACCTGTACAATTGGGTATACACCTCGGTAGTGCGCCGCGCATCATCGGTCTAACAATTTATTGTCGAAACACGTAGCTTGTGACATTTATCAGGATAATAATTAATTGAGGGTTATGCAAGGGTGGGCTCGGATAACTAATGGCTAAGTCATCTTGGCGTATTGAACCGACATCGATCACTCACGTATTTGCTATCTCTTCGAAACTCCTGCAAAATATAAATTAGAATTTTGCTGTTTTTTAGAAATCCTTGTAGGTAATCTG